TCTCCACTCCGCACTCCCCCCATCATTCACTATGGTAAGATATTTTGTTCTGATGATGCCTTATACCTGATCCCTTTGACACCTCGTGATCGCATAGACTGGTGTGCTTCCTCCATGTGGGCTTTGCTGCTTCTGAGCTTGATGGCCGCTTGTTTACCTTCAAACCTTTAAGACCCCAGACACTATACTTTTTGATAGCTGGGCACCATCAGCTTTCTTCGCCACATTTGCTTACGCACCCATTTGTCTTCAGTGATCCCTTCGACACCTTGTGATCACACAGGCTGACAGTAAGTTTCTTAAGGAGAAGGGAATTGTCAAGTTCAGTCCTGCATTCTTAACATCAAAAATGGCCCAGCACAAAGTAGGTACTCCATATATTAGAATAAAAAGTGAATTAATTAAAACAATAACAATAATATTGAGCCATTGCTATGAACTGGGCCTGATTCTAAGAGGATCACATGCATTAACTCTTTTATTACTCACAATGATACTAGAAATTAGGTATTATTATAACTTATGCATTGAAGTGGACTCTATGGCATTGAGTTTTCTTTAGGAGGCCTTTTGACACTATCTAGTAAGTGATGGATTAACTGCAAGGTCTGCAGTTCAAACCAGTCACTCTGGTAAAGATTGATAGCCTCAGAAACTGAAACAGATCTCTCTTGATTAATAATTAGTGACACAATTTGGGGCAAAATCTTTGTGTTCGAGACTGATTTTCCTCCATGTATAAAAAAACGGGTTATTGTGGGTGATCTCTGGAATTGTTTTCAGCTCTAAGTTTGTTAAATGCAGTGGCTTCTCACGTTTATTTAGTGTACACAACTTTTTAAAATCAAATAACAAGTAACTCTCTTTACACACTTCCTGTAGTGTTGAAATGGATCTTGGACAGTAGGACTTAAACATAGAGTGTTCTGGCTACAAAGGACTTTTGATATCATTTAGATTATTTTCCTCATTGGATTTAGTCAGCTTAAGAGACAGCTAGCTGACTGAGTAGAATGTATCTTGACAAGTAGTTTTACCAAATTGTGTATAAATGGTTTGATCTTCAGCAATTTTTAGTATAGCTCATCCTGTCATGTTTTAGGTTATGGGTATAAGCTGCTTGTACTTTTAAGGAAACTAAAGCTTAAAAGAAGTTAACCCCTATGTCACACATGTAATTGGTAATACCTTTATGCTTTTCAAGAACAGGTAAAGCAGATCTCTTTGAAACGCTTTATATTCTTATGTGATTTTTCTTCTACAGAGAATTAGGTTTCTCTTTGACTATGATTATGCTGATAGCCAAATGCATTTTATTTATATTGCATTGTCTGTATTGATAATGAGTGCTGATCAATTGATTGATGACTGACCACATTTTCTAATATTTTCTTGTACTTCACATCTACCTATTTAATGCTTATACCAGCCTCTTTGGGGGCCCTGATAAGGGTGAGGTTCTTCCTGGAACTTTACAGGTAAGACCAAGAGGAGGTAATTGTTTTCTGAATCATTCTCTTATGTCAGCTCACCACAAAGGTGTGTTGAGTCACTACAATGCATCATCATCACTGTTAGTTCGAAGTCTGATTAGCTACATGGTTCTCCATCTCTTTTTCATGATAAACAGGCTGTCCAGCTGGTTAAAAGTTATGTACCTTAGCTGTAGATTAATGCTTTCCTGCTGGCTAGTGGAAGTAAGTCAAAGTAATGGGAATGTCACTGTATTCTTGTTGTGTTCTATTTCCCAAGGGTGTTTCAAGAGTAGTCATACAAATTGCCTTATTTCCTGGATGATAAAAATCTCCTTTAAAAGAGAAGTTGCTAAAATTAGTAATCAGATGCTTTCTAGGAATGGAAGTATAATTATTGAGAGTCAGCTGCATCTTCCTTCCAACTCACATTGCCCTGATCCATAATCTGAAGGAGTCCATGTTGCAGTAGAGTTAAGCATTACTGCATTCAACACTGGATGTATCTCTTATGGCACTGCAAATGCCTGTGGCACTCCTACTCCGTGACTCAGCGAAGCTGTGCATCCTTAGCCAACTTTTGGGGAAATCTATCCTCTCAATCAAGGTGGAGGTAAATATCATTCTGAAATGCCAGAGAAGCTGAGAGTGTTTAGGAATATTTGGAAAGCTGGATGTAATATACAATGTATAGAGTCAAGGGTGGGTTAAAAAGTACTGCTACTAGTGTAGCAGTCCTTAAGATATCACCAGAATTGAAAATTATAAACCAATGCCCTTTATGAATACAGATGCCAAAATTTTCTACAAAAATCTAGCCAACAGAATTCAACAAAGCATTAAAAAAAACACACATCATGATCAGGTGGGATTCATATCAGGTGTGCAAGGATGGCTCAGTATTAGAAAAACAAGCAATGTAATCTACCACATTTTAAAAAAAGGTGGT